AGTAACATAAAATGAGTTTTGTATATATCCTGGTAAGATTTGTTTGCTATGATATTGACAAAACATGCTATCTTGTAGAACCTATTTCCCCTTTCTCTTTTTAGTCTAGTCATTTCAGCCTCACATGAAGTTGGGTGAATATCATGTTCAACACTGTCTTCCCATTTGTTCAGAGTCCCAACTTCCAAAGCCTCTTTCCCCTCCCTCAAGGGTTCAGGGTTTTTGGGTGACCCCACTCTCACCATCCCCACTATTCATTCCACACTCAGTGAGCACAGACTCTGCTACATAATGTGTGTTAAGTGCTAAGGCCACAGAGATGAATAAAACCTAGGTCCCTAGCTTGACACTGATCCCTCAGTGTGACTGCCTTTCTTCTGGACACTCCTCTCACTCTTGTCCTCGACTCAGGAAGCATTTGTACTTCTGTCTCTACGTCATCTGGGAATAAGAAAAGCTTTGGCTCTAGAGAAGGGATTTCCAACTCTAAGAAGCAGATGAGAGGCAGAGCAGGGGTGAGGATGGTTTGAGAAAAGAGTTTTACTGAGTTCAAGGTATTTTATAGATGTTACTATATTCAATTCTCACCACAAATATAGGAAGTAGATATTAATCAGTCCCTTTTACAGATGAGGATCCTGAGACTTAAAGAGATTACATTATTTGCCCAAAGCCATACAGCTTAACAGAAGAGCTGGGATTCACACTTAGGTTGGCCTAACTTTAAACCTGGGCTGTTCCTATTATGTTATGTCTCCCCTCTTCTTTCTGGCCCTGATTCATTGGCTAAGCTCAGCCACAAGGTAAAGGACTTCTTTAGTGCTCAGAAGGCAAGAACTTGGAGGAAGAATTCCGAACAAGAAATGAGGGACATAGTAGGCTTATTTCGCATACCCCAGAAGGAGGAAGTGATAGGGAACCAGAGCTAGATTATCTGCTTGGGGCCAGTAACCCAGAGTGTGTCAGGATGGGCCCAAGAACCCTGCTGAGATTCCAGGGTCCCTGGATAATCTGGAAGCCTCTGCATGTCAAGTGATAAATGGGCCCTTTGTCTAAACTCTGCTCTCTGGAGGACTCTGGAGTGACTAGAAGAAAGTCAGACAGATGTATGGGAATGAGAGATAGGAAGAAGGCAGGGCTTCAGCAGCAAGTGCTAAAAAGTCCTGAAATCATTACACATTTTTCCCAGCCTGTAAACTTAACATGCTTCCTTCCCCTCTGCCTATCCCCCACTACCTCTAAATGATGCCATTGTTTACTTGTTATTCTGCTTTAACCTGTTTCTTTTTTTGATGTGATTTTACCTGGAGACAAGTGGAGAAGGCCCAGCACAAAGTAGTGGAAGGGGAGCAGTGTTTGAATCCAGGTTCTGGATTCAAGGTTCTAGAATCCAGGTTCTAGACACGTGAGTGTAAAAAAAAGGTTTTTACCTTTAAGATTCTCATTTTTTCTCATCTTTGAAGTGTAGAAAATGATACTTACCTGATGGGACTGTTGGGAACATTAACTAAGGCAATGGATACAAAGGCATCTAGCACAACACCTGACACACAGTGTATGTTCAGTAAACATTTGGATGTATGAATCGATGCTGCACAAATGTTAATCGGCCTACACTTCCATAGTTGGTTCTGTTCTTACTACATAGAAAAAGGAATTGGGTTCTCTAAGGCAGGTCTCAGGTATGTCAGTTGAGTTACAGTGAAAGGATCCCAGTTCTTTCTGTACTTACCGCCCCTGCCTCCATTTAAAAGGCAATAGAAAAAACTTCTAGCTAAAGGCTCACTGTTGCTGCTGCAAAACAAACATCATCACCAGCCTCCTCTGCTGCGGGCTTATCAACGAAGAAACTGGGTAATCTCCAGTTTGTCTGCTGCAGCTGAGGGTAAACAGACTTTTAGTCCTGTCTCTGCACCTCTCAACTGATACAGAGCAAAACTAGCACTGCATCAGTATGGAGAGTTGCGTGAGAGCCAGGTAGAGACCTGGCATGATCCCTCTCCTTCCCACCCCTACTTTTTGCATAGTTGCCTGTCTCCTTGGAAATGCACACAACACTGGTTTGGTGGGCAACTCCACCCACCTGTGGCTCTAATCCAAGACAGACGTGGCTAGACAAGAAGATAGGCTGGCGCGCCCCCTGCTGGAGCCAGGTGGGCTAGCAGCCTCTGGCTGATTGTACACCTCTTGGTGCTGTCCTCCATCTCAGTGCTGAAAACCTTTCCCCTCTAGCTTGAGGTGATAGGTATAACCTTGTCCAAGAAAGCTAAGGAGAAGCTGAGCAGGCCAAGACCACACAAAGGGCTGCTGACAAACCCTGGTCTCTTGCCCAGCCCTTTTTTTCCTGCTCTGCCAATGTGGAAAAGCAGATAGTTCATCTTGCAAACACACCCCCCTACAGGCTGCCTTATAGCCAGTTTTTTTTTTTTTTCTCTCTCTCTCTCTCGGAATGGGAAATTTTAGCAGAGCCCATATGCTATGATTCAGAGACAGTTAATATCACTGTGTCTAGCATTAAGTACTATACTGTACACTCCATTTGCTGACATCCAGAAATGTAACATGCTGTCCCATGTCATCCCAGTCCAGAGAAATGACATGAGGCAACGCTTTGGAGCATCCAATTTCCAACCCAGCATCCTCCTAGAAAGGGAGTCCCCTCTATTTCCTCCCAGACAGATGTCTTTCAGACTCTTCTTGCACTTCTGTGGTGATGGGGAGTTCATGGTCTTCCAAAGGAGCCCATCCAGTGGTTGGCAATTCAATTCACTAAAAGTTTTCCTCATCCTGAGCAGAAGTCTATCTTACTGAGACTCACTCCCCAGATTTGGTTATTACCTCTGGACAACACGGAACAAGTTTGCTTCTTTGGTCCAATGATGTCCCTTTAACTTTTTGGAGACTGTGATCTTTCTTTCCTATTCACACTCACTCTTATTTTTTATTTTAAACAATAAACTGCTCCATTCCTTTCTAATGGGGAAGGATTTGCAGACACCTCACTTTCCTAGTCATATTCCAAATAATCAAAGCTACCATTTAGTGAGCACATAAAGATTTTTGCCTACTTTTTCCACACCTAAGTTCATTAAACTTTCATAACTATTATAGCAAGGTAAGTATTACTATGACCATCTTTCAGGCGAGGAAACTAAGATCTAGAGATGTTAAATAACTTGCCTAAGATCACACAGTTTTAAAGAAATAGAAGTAGGGTTTGAATGCAGAATGAGCCAAAGTTGCCTGGATCCAAGTTTTTGCTTTTAAATCATCATTATACCTGCTGTTTGTGTAGTCTATGATCCAATTAATCAATGTAGTTTTAAATATATGGGCCAATATATGATCACAACATTATGGAAGTGACCTGGCCAAGGAAACATGGATCCAGACTATTGTCTCTCTCATTTTATGCACTCTGCCTCTTTTCATGCTATCTAAAATAATGCTATCATTTCCAAAAGACTGACACACTCTTGGTGCATGCCAAGCTGATTGCAGTCAATTAAACTCCCCGGGACTTTGACACAGGAACTGCTGGAAATCAAGACTTGACTGTTGTCCCTTATTTTGATAACAAAGTCCTTGACCTCAAAGTCAGGGTTATACCAGTTTGGGGGTTTGCCTGTTGGTTCGTGAGCAGTGGGAGACCAAAAGGGAAAGGTGCCAAGAATGCTCAGAGGAACAGAAGAGCTGCACAAAACACTTTATTTGTGTTCCTATGGGCAAAACGAACCCAGGGGAGAGGCTGTATGTACAACATGACATTTGTAGCCAATCAACATATGGCTCTTTGTTATTATTTCTGAAAACCAGCATGCAAAGGAGAACAAGTTTTGCTTTTGATTTTTGTAGCAAACTTCAATAATCTCCAACCCAAACAAACAAACAAACAAAAAATGCTTTAGTGGAGCTTTGTGCTAAGGGCTTTTCCTCCCTGGAGCCTCCCTGCCTCTCCCCGTCTTCTAATCCTCATTTCCGGGAGGTCATTTTAATTAGCAGGCTGTCATGGTGACTCAGCCTGCTGTTTCCACAGACAGGAAGGGAGCAGACTCCCCTGGACCCATTCATCATACAAAGGCACTTTACTCTTCACAAAAAATGCACAATATTTAGCTTGCTACACCTTGGGAATTGCTACTACCATTTTATTTTATCATTCCTCCCTGCCTCAGGGTGCATCCTTGTGTCTTTTGCATCTTCCTTGCCTGGCAATCACACTTTCCTCATTGTAGATTAGCAATGCCCACATCTTCAGGGGCCACGCTTAATCTCTGTCTCCTGGGATCTGGAGACTAACCATAATAAACCTTTTAAAATGAAGGACCAGTGCGTTTTTGTCTTTGGAGCTAAAATTTTAATTAAACTACCCAGGAAATAGGGAAATAGCTCTCAGCACAGTTTTCTAAATCTGCATGCTGGGGTTTGAGGGAATCAGGAAGCATGCAGCTTAGATACAGTGACCATATATTTAAGTCCACTGTGATTTCAAAAATCCTGTCCCATTGTTCCTAGGATGCATTTGCCCTTGGGTTGCATGTGTTGTTGCTGTTGTTTTGGATCAGAAAATACAAACGCTGCATTTCTAAATCTGTAAACAATCAAGCCTATTTAAAAGGTAACCATCTGCAGTAACTATAAAACTTAAAAATGTAAAGTGGCTTTGAAAGAACTGACCTGATATATGTCAAGTATCTTAAAAGGGATGTGTAGGTTTTCCTCATCTTGGAAGATCTCTGTGTTGTAGAAAATAGCATCTGTGCTCACCTGGTTCCAGTCTCCTATTTTGTTCCTGAGCTTTTTGAGCTGAAGGCTTACAATTGATTTTCCATTGGAAAAAGGGAAAATCAATGATGAAGTTTCTCATTGTATCCCTTCCCTTTCACTAGCCTATGCATTAATCCACAAATCCTCGGAAGCTAAAAAAGAGTGATTAATTTCATTCCCCAGCAGAAAATGCACGCTCCTGTCCCCATAAGACCTCCCAGGACTCCGTGTCTTTAAAAAGGGGTTGAAGGGTCTTTGTGGTTCACTGAGCTCTTCTTGTCCCCTTTGCCGTTGGGGTAGTTGCTGGCTGGGCCCCGCAGGAGTGGGTGCTTGTAAGGAGGGGATTTTTCTTTCCTGCAAAGGGGGAGATAACAGAAAGAGAGAAGACAGCACATATACACACTGTGATGAAATCATTTGTGTGCATGTCTATCTTCCCCACTGGACTGTAACCTCCCAGGAACAGTAACCTGGTCTTCTTCCCACAGACACTGAAGGTGACAAAGACCAGCAGGCATTGATACTGTCTTCAAGTTGCTTATAGCTTAGGAGAAGAGACAATTGCATAAAATACCTACACAAAACAATAACTATAATATGTGTCAGGAAGTAGTTAGTGTCATAAATATGAGAATCTCTTGAACTAAGTTTGAATTCAAATTGAAGAAGAGGATTTGGAAACCATCAAGCTCTGACCTTGGCGCACCCATTTTTCTTTACTGTTGATGAGTCATGAATAAGGTAAAGACAGAATAGGTGGCACCACATAAAGGGACACCTTGCCCTAACATACCCTTCTTCCTTAAAGGAAGCCTCACTGCCTGAAAATCCACATTCATTGAAGAGCCTTGCTAACATAACAAGGCTGCCAGAATAGGTGAGATACAGCTAGACATCAGTACCTATTAACACCCTGGAGCACATGCATGGGGTGTAACTTATGGGCAATGTGATCTTGAAGCAGTTCCTTACCTTCTCTGGACCTCTATTTCTTTATTTCTAAAATAGGAGAAAAATTCATGTCCTTCCTGCCTCATAGGCCCTGGTAAATGGAGGTTGAAGAAGAGCTTTGTAAATTACAAGGTGCTATTCATCTGTCATTGAAGGATGTTGTTCTTAATACCCAAATGGAGCACAGGACGTAAATATGTTTTTACGGGGAGAAAGAGGAGGTAGGCCCAGGTTTGGTCATAGTTGGGGCAGCCATGGGGGGATGGTGGCAAGGGGACAAGTTGTGCAAAGGCTAGAGAGGCCTCTGAATATGCAGAAGGACTTAGGGAGGGTGAGCTAGGAAGGCAAAAAGCCATCAACCAAAGATGGGGACATAGAGAGTGCAAGGAGCCACTGGAAGGCAAAACATCCCATACCTTTAGGTCTCTGCAGAGGCTGTTCCCTTCCCTACCTCTAAAGAGGTAGAGGAAGAGCCCCACTTCCTTTGGGAAGACAAGTTCCCAAAAAATAAGCTTCCCTCATCCCTAGGCCTTTTTAGCACTTTGTACATTTCATCACTCCTCCACCTGCCATTTTCTAGGTGGTTCTTTGTTCATCTCTTTCTCTTATGAGATGATAAGTTTGATGTGTATGCTTTTTCTTTATAATTCCTGAGCCAAGTGCAGGTCTGGTATGGGGTAGGTGCTTGAGGAGTATTTGATGACTAGAAATGAACTTTCAGTCTTATCTTCACCATATCATTTACTCTAAACATTCTGGCCTTGTCATTGCTGTTGTGTGAAGTCAGGGACCCTTAACAGAGGGACCAGCTGAAGCCATGGCAGAAGAACATAAATTGTGAAGATTTCATGGACATTTATTAGTTCTCCAAATTAATACTTTTATAATTTCTTACGCCTGTCTTTACTGCAATCTCTGACCATAAATTGTGAAGATTTCATGGACATTTATCACTTCTCTGATCAATATTCTTGCGATTTCCTATGCCTGTCTTTACTTTAATCTCTTAATCCCATCATCTTCATAAGCTGAGGATGTATGTTGCCTCAGGACCCTGTGATGATTGCGTTAACTGCACAAATTGTTTAGGCCCCAGATATCGGGGGAACCCGCCCCTAATAATTCAATGTGAGTCCTTTTCTGCTTTCCCTAAGTGTCAGCTGGTCTGAGAAATAAAGGAAAAGAGTACAAAAGAGAGAAATTTTAAAGCTGGGTGTCCGAGGGAGACATCACGTCGGCAGGTTCCGTGATGCCCCCCAAGCCACAAAACCAACAAGTGTTTATTAGTGATTTTCAAAAGGGGAGAGAGTGTACGAATAGGGTGTGGGTCAAAGAGATCACATGCTTCAGAAGGTAATAAAATATCACAAGGCAAATGGAGGCAGGGCGAGATCACAGGACTGGGGCAAAATTAAAATTGCTAATGAAGTTTCGGGCACACATTGTCATTGATAACATCTTATCAGGAGACAGAGTTTGAGAGCAGACAATCAGTCTGACCAAAATTTATTAGGCGAGAATTTCCTCATCCTAATAGGCCTGGGAGTGCTCCCGGGAGACCAGGGCTTATTTCATCCCTTATCTACAACCGTAAAAGACAGACGTTCCCAGAGCGGTCATTTTAGAGACCTACCCCTAGGAATGCATTCTCTTTCTCAGGGATGTTCCTTGCTGAGAAAAAGAATTCAGCGATATGTCTCCTATTTGCTTTTGAAAGAAGAGAAATATGGCTCTGTTCCGCCCAGCTAGCAGGCAGCCAGACCTAATGGTTATCTCCCTTGTTCCCTGAACATCACTGTTATCCTGTTCTTTTTTCAAGGTGCCCAGATTTCATATTGTTTAAACAATTTGTGCAGTTAATGCAATAATCACAGGGTCCTGAGGTGACATACATCTTCAGCTTATGAAGATGACAGGATTAAGAGATTAAAGTAAAGACAGGCATAGGAAATCACAAGAATATTGATTGGGGAAGTGGTAAATGTCCATGAAATCTTCACAATTTATGTTCAGAGATTGCAGTAAAGACAGGCATAAGAAATTATAAAAGTATTAATTTGGGGAACTAATAAATGTCCATGAAATCTTCACAATTTATGTTCAGAGATTGCAGTAAAGACAGGCGTACGAAATTATAAAAGCATTAATTTTGGGAACTAATAAATGTCCATGAAATGTTCACAATTTATGTTCTTCTGCCATAGCTTCAGCTGGTCCCTCCATTCAGGGTCCCTGACTTCCTGCAACACGTTGCCTTGGAATGTGTCTTGTTAGGTCCTGCTTCTGGCTGTTCTCTACTCTATTCCCCAACGTGGAATACCCTCTCTCCCCTTTCTATTTCATCAATCAAAATTCCATATGTCTGTTAAAGCCAAGTTCAAGTGCCACTTCCTCTCTGAAGCTTTCTTGGGACATGCCTGCCAGCTACAAAATACTTGCCAGATTTTGTAGGAGAGGAACTTCTGCTTGGGTCTAACTTTTCTTTAGTGTGAAGGGGTCAAAGTGGGTAATTTTGGGGGCTTTCTCAGTTCTACCACAGCTCAGTAACACTCATGAATTATTTAGAATTTAATCTATGCTAGGCCCTGCACCATGCACTAAGGATACAGAAGTAAGTAAGACTGAGGACACTGAAGCTAGCAGAGAAGCCAGACATGCATAGAAGCTATGACAATACACCACAGGACACACCATGCTAGAGCTATGTACGAAACACAGTTAGGAGCTCAGCAGAGAGGAAGCAGCTCTGTCTCAGGTGGAGAATACAGACAAGGAAACAGAAGGTGTGATATTTGAACTGAGTTTTGAATGATAATTAGGAGCTCACCATCTACAAGCAGAAAGGGAGCTCATTCCAGCAAGAGGAAAAAGGATGTACAGAGACATGAAGGTAAGAAAACAGCTAACTTGTTTGGGCTGAAGCATAAGGCACAAGGTGATAGAAATCAGGTGGGATAGACAGGGTGCTCATGGGGGTGGAGGGGTGTAGAAAGTAGGAAATGAAGTTTAAAATGTAGGCCAAGGTCTTGAATAGCAAGAAGAGTTGAAATATTACCCTAAAGGTAATGGGGAGCCATGGAAGGTTTTTGAGAGAAGGCATAACCTGATACATAGTTGAGTACTTATACACTTTTCAGTATTGTTTGTTATCTTTACATTTATACTTGCCTTTATCCTCCACAAATCTGAGCTCACAATGGGCAGGGACTATTTATAATGCTCTAGCAGTTGGCACAAGGACTGGCACATAGTGGGCTCCAGTGTGTTGAGGAGCTGATAAGCCCCCTTACACACACATACAGCCATCATAACCTCTCCCTGGAGCCAGCCCCTCCAGCCTGTGAATGAGCCTGAGTCCATCTCTTGCTCAGAGACCACAATCATGCTCTGTTTACCTACAGAAGCACATCTGCCCTGTTCCTTCTTCCTGTCTGATTTTATCCCCTTTGCTGGAGCATTTGGGGCTTACGACTGTACCACTGTGTGCTAAACAAAATGTGGGGCCTCAGCTTTGGTCATCAATGCCATGCCCCCGAGCCTGAGCTCTTGTGCCCACATTGCTGCCCCTCCTGAGGGACCCTATCTGAAGGGTGGCCCAGTATCCAATGATGCTGGCAGGTTTCCGCCAGCGTGTGAGCAGAAAGTGACATATTGTAATTATCCATGGAGATGGGAGAAAACAAAGATTAATTTTGAATCAAAACATGTAATTTTCCTTTAAAGCCAGAACTGCTCTTTCACTTAAGCTATTTGATGCTTGGGTGGAAAATAATACAAAAAAGGGGAAGTATTTAAAACCCAAATTAGAGCTCAGAGTCTTGTACCCTCCTGGGAATTCATTTTTAAAGGATTACTGACCAATCTAGAGCTAAGTGGTACTCACAGTTTGATGAGGCAGAGGTGTGTGCATAGGGAGGAGGTTATTAATTTTTTTTTTAATTTAAGGGTGGGTGCATTTAGCTCAAGTCCTCAAAACTCTGAACTCATGAGGAAGGAGCTCTCTAGATCTTTTCTGAAGAGGGCTCCAAAGCTCAAGGCAAGGAAGTGCCATGAACAGTTAAAGTCTGGGCCCTGAGATCTCCCCTGTGTCCTTTAGATCTGTGTCAGGGTTCCATCCTCTCCCATCTCCAGGAACTCTTCACTGGTAGACACTGAATACACTGCACTGCAGGGTGAGGGCCTGTGCTCCGGTCCTGGCTCTGACCACATGACTTTGAGCAGCTCCTTCTGCTCCCTAAGTCCCCATGTTCTCATCTGTATCATAAAGAGAGACTAGAGGATCACTAAGGTCTCCCTGAGTGTCAGCACCATTTCATTGGTATATGACAATGCAACATGCAAGAAAAAAATGATTAAGGATGAAGATAATTTTATTTAGGCAGAGGACCTGAAAGAGACAATCCCCAAATTAACTTGTAAATGAGAGTCTAAGAATTCTTTTGAGTTTCATAAAGCTTCAGATGTTTAAGAACTTTAAACAATCCAGAATGACTTCTAAGAATGAACTGAGCATCTTCCTCTAGAGGTGAACTCCTCAGAGGTAGGGGTCATGCTTTAATCAGCCACTCATCCCAGCACTTCTTTCCTGTCAGGGACCTGGTATAAAGTGTTGCTTTTCCTGAGTGAATGAATGAATGAATGTATACATGCATGTATGCACAATGCAGGACAGGCACCTCAGGGGCACAAGTAATAGACGTGATTCTCCTGCAAGAGTTTCTAATATGCCATGCACAATGGGGGCGGGGGCACAAAGACCCCAGATGATTTAGAAACAATCTGAGACAGGGTATCAGAATGTCTTGTCATGAAGATGCTATGACATGGGGCTCAGAGATGTATGACTCATAGCATTGTGGAACATAGGCCCTGAGACATCACCCAACCAAACAAGTCAAAGGACTTGCCCTAGGTCTTGATGAGCTGGTTGGAAATCTGGGACTGGAGGACATGAAAACATTTATTGAGCATCTACCAGCTGCTGGGCACTGTGCTAAGCTTGTATCCATTCTACAAAACCATATTTAGATATCATTGTTATTAGCCCCATTCATAGGTAAGCAGAGAAAAGCTTCAAGAGGCCAAGAAACTTGCCTAAGATCCTATAACTCACATGAGTCTGAGACAGAATTTGAACCCATGCTGACGAACTTCTACTTGAGGTGAACCTTAGCTATACTTCAATTCGGCTTTCAAATAATAAAAGCCTAGGAGCAAACCCTGGCTCTCCCAAAAACTCTTTGTCCTCGGGCATCTTACATCTTCTCATCGTCTTTCTGAGTCTCCTTTTCCTTATTTGTAAGATGGGGAATATAATGTCTATGAGGAATAAATAATACAATGTACACAAAGTACTCTGTACAATAAGTAAAGTGATTTATATTGTTTTTATTAATAACAGGGTAGGGAGGAAGGTGCATCAGTGCAAAGGCCCTGAGGCATCCACATACATGAGCAAGGTCATGGCAAAGGTCAGTGGAAAGAATGGTCTGGCAGGAGCCAGGAGTTGGGCATTGTCATGTCCTTCAAGTAGGAGGGACCACTGAGGGAGTGGGAGGTGAGTCTAAGAGATGGGGCAGGGCCAACACATTCCAGATGCCATGTGATGTCACTGTCCTTATGCTAGTCGGGTTCACAGCCAGTGGTCATGGAAGTGCCCAGTGCTTCAGGCTCTGGCCAAGTCCTCAGACAGGATGGAGGCTCACCTCCTGACCTTCTCTCCTCAATGGCCCTGCAAGTTGGCCCCAGAAGAGGACCCAAGGTAGAACTTCTCAAGGGTGTGTCCTCTCCAGCCCAAACCTTTACATCTTGAGGGAAGGAGACTATCATGTACTGACAGCACTGTGCTGGGTGCTTTAACACATATCTCATAATAATCATGTATGTGAGGACTGCTGTCCTCACTTTATAGACGAGGAAACTGAAGGATCAGAGAAATTCATATAGGAACCTCAGAGGATGAGGTATCAGGAGAGGTAGTGCATAGAAACACCCAAATTAATTTAGAACAATGACTGAACCCAGCTCCCCAGCAAGCCCCATCCCTGTGGATTCCCAAGTTAGAACCAGGAATGTGACCTTGCCCTCACTGTCTGACTTCTTAATGATACTTTCTTTATGCTCAGGAAATATGCTCTTATGCCCCAAAATCTATGTGGCAGGGCCAGGATTATCTTTCCTGCTGCACAGATGGGATGCTGAGTTTCAGCAAGAGGCTAAGGGAAGTTGCCCCTGAATATAGCCAGTGGAGCAGAACTCAAGCCCAAACCTCTCTGCTCTGCCACTTACCGTAGTCTCGGCATGGGAATTGCCACCTTTTCAACCATGGGGTTCAGCCGATAATAGTCCAAAAAGGTTCTTGCCACGTTCCGCCCCAGCTTCATATCTGCAGGTGTGTGTGTTAAGGAGCAACTTTGAAAAGAGATTGAGACAGAGTGAAAAGAGGACTACTAATAAAAATAATAACAGTAATAAAAACAGTTACACCACTCATTGTTCTAAGCTTCTTGTATGTGCTCTCTTTTTTGATCCTTGAAAAACCTTAAATGGTAATCACTATTATTATCCTAATTTTATAGATAAGAAAACTGAGGTGCATCGCAGTGAAGTAATTTGCCTAAGGTCACAAAACTGGGAAAAGAAGGAGCCAGGATATGAGTCTAGGGAGTCTTACCCCAAAGCCTGTGCTAGTAGCTTTCAGGGTACAGCCCTTTGGAAATCACTGGGCTGCTCTGGTCTAGCCTCAGGTGGCTCAGGATGGAGCCAGGTAAGCAAAAACCCCAAGGGCAAGAGACATTGGTTGTATATAGACCAGTGCCTGCTTGACCCTTAGGGCTCAGTCATCCACTTTAGTAACCTCAAGCACAATGGTAAAACCCTGTGACCCTAAATCATGTTCCCACTGCACCTTGAAATTCCTCCAACAATGAATCTTTCTGGTAACGATTTGTGATGGTAAAAGCACAAACTTCTTGGGGAAGGGTCAATTTCATATTGACCATTAACACCTTAATATGAATGAGTACAACAATCATTATTCAACAACAGAATATCTTCTTTGTGCATTATAGCTCACATCTCTGGGCTTCATACATGTTATTTCCTCCGCTGAAGTTCCTCCCTACCCGCTCCTGCCTTCTCCTCAGCTAATTCATACCCCTTGCTTCTCTAATGAGGTGATATTTCTTTATTAGAGCCCTCCAGGATATTCTTCTCTCTTCCCAGAACTGTGATTGGTGCCCTTGTCCCACATTTTCATGACTCCTGAGCTGGCTTCATTCAAAGCACTTATCACTTATCTCACAGCATGGGAATTATGTGTTTACTCAGCTTAATCCTTAGCCATTCCTTCTCCCTCATCTCTTAGCTCTGAACATCCAAGCTGTCACTAACCCTTCTCCAAGACACCTACCATCTCTTGAATGTTTTCACTTCTTTCCACCCCCCTAGAATAGGCCAGCATCATCTTTCTCCTAGATTGCTGTCATCCTGTCCTAACTAGTTTCCCTGCCACAGAATTGCCCCCGTCTGGTCCATTTTCTACAGTGCAGCCAGAGGGATTCTGCAATGCAGCTCTGAGTATGTCACTCAGCTGAGTAAAACCCTTCAGTGGTTCTCAGTTGCCTTCAAAGTCCAAATCTCTGAGCATGATTTACAGTACTGTTCATAGTCAGGTCCCTGATTATTTTCTCAACATTATGCTTGCTACCTCCCACCTACTCCCTTTGCCCTTCACATTCTGGAAACACTGAACTTCTTCTGCCTCCAGGCCTGTGCCCCATACGTGCCATCTTTCCAGACCACTCTTCCTCCCTTCACATGCCTTCCAGGGCCCACTCTTTCTCAGCTTCAAGAACTCAATTCAGTTGTCACTCTACTGGATAAGTCTTCCTTGGCTGTCCTTGCTGGGACAGGAGTCTCTCCTAGGTTTTCCCACAACCTCTTCTTCCTAGCCTGCACCAACCAGAGCACTAATCATACTGTATTTTACCTGTCTCTTCTTTTCAATAGCCCCTTTTAGCAGGCAAGCTCTATGAGGCAGAGGTCATATCTGTCTTATTCATCACCTAAATACCCATGTACTCATCTGACAATAAGTATGAAATATATATTTGTTGAATTAACAAATCATAGCTGGCTGGGTGCGGTGGCTCATGCCTGTAATCTCAGCACTTTGGGAGGCTGAAGTGGGTGGATCACCTGAGGTAAGGAGTTTGAGACCAGCCTGACCAACATGGCGAAACCCCATCTCTACTAAATACAAAATTAGCTGGGTGTGGTGGCGCATGCCTGTAATCCCAGCTACTGGGGAGGCTGAGGCAGGAGACTCGCTTGAACCTAAGAGGCGGAGGTTGCAGTGAGCCAAGATCACACCATTGCACTCCGCCCTGGGCAACAAGAGTGAAACTCCATCTCCAAAAACAATAAAAACAAATAAATAAATAAATAATAGCTAATACTCATATAATGTTTAATATGTGCTAGGCAATCTTTTTTTAAAATATACTTTAAGTTCTTGGATACGCATGCAGAGCATGCAAGTTTGTTACATAGGTATACATGTGCCATGGTGGTTTGCTGTGCCTATCAACCCATTATCTACATTAGGTATTTCTCCTAATGCTATCCTTCCCCAGCCCCCAACCCCCTGTCTGGCCGCAGTGTGTGTTGCTCCCCTCCCTGTGTCCATGTGTTCTCATTGTTCAACTCCCACTTATGAGTGAGAACATGTGGCGTTTGGTTTTCTGTCCCTGTGTTAGTTTGCTGAGAATGATGGTTCCAGTTTCATCCATGTCCCTGCAAGGGACATTAACTCATTCTTTCTTATGGCTGCATAATATTCCATGGTGTATATGTGCCACATTTTCTTTATCCAGTCTATCATTGATGGGCATTTGGGTTGGTTCCAAGTCTTTTCTATTGTGAATAGTGCTACAATAAACATACGTGTGTGTGTCTTTATAGTAGAATGATTTATAGTCCTTTGGGTATATACCCAGTAATACAATTGCTGGATCAAATGGTATTTCTAGTTCTAGATCCTTGAGGAATTGCCCCACTCTCTTCCACAATGGTTGTAATTTACACTCCCACCAACAGTGTAAAAGTGCTCCTATTTCTTCACATCCTCTCCACCATCTGTTGTTTCCTGACTTTTTAATGACTGCCATTCTAACTGGTGTGAGATGGCATCTCATTGTGGTTTCGATTTGTGTTTCTCTAATGACCAGTGATGATGAGCTTTTTTTCATGTTTGTTGGCCACATAAATTTCTTCTTTTGACAAGTGTCTGTTCATATGCTTTGCTCACTTTTTGATGGGGTTGTTTGTTTTTTTTTCTTGTAAATTTGTTTAAGTTCCTTGTAGATTCAGGATATTAGCCCTTTGTCAGATGGAGAGATTGCAAAAGTGTTCTTCCATTCTGTAGGTTGTCTGTTCACTCTGATGATAGTTTCTTTTGCTCTGCAGAAGCTCTTTAGTTCAATTGGATCCCATTTGTCAATTTTGGCTTTTGTTGCCATTGCTTTTGGTGTTTCAGTCATGAAGTCTTTGGTGCTGCGCAATCTTTTAAGTGCCTTATGTATATTGACTCATTCAATTCTCACAATAACCCAATGAATTAGGTATATTATTCCTACTGTTCAGAGAAGATAAGTGATTTCCCAAAATGTTGGGCACCTAATGAAGAGCTGGGATTGAAAGTGAGTACCCTGGCTGCATGTGTTTATCTTCCTTCCCAAACTACCTCTCCAGCACCTGCACCATTCCATATTCACTTCTGTGTCTCTCTTGCCTAACACATGGTAGGGTACCCTCCACCTACTGAGAAACAAGACTCACATCCCTGACTCAGGAATAGGTGAGGGGGGCATGCATGGTAATATGTAGAGGAGGAGCAACCTGAGGTTGGTCCTAGGGGATCAGTGGAGAAGGACCATTCTCGGCTGGTCTATAAAGGCAGGACAACTGAAGGGGCATTTCGGGGAGAAAACACAGAGTGAGCAACAGTGCAGAAATGATTTACCATGCATCCATCTATCCATCCATCCACCAACAAGCATATTTGGAAGCCTCCAGTGTGTCAGGGCTTGTGTGAGAGGAGTGTTTGGTGGGAAGGGTCTTGGTAGGTCACAGTGGAAAGGACAAAGTGGAATGGGAAGAAAATATGCAGTTGCTTGCATTTGCAGGACTGTTGGGCAGTTGCCACAGGCCTTCCTTCAGTGCTGTCTGGGGCTGGGCCAGGTCTTCTGGGCCATTACTCCATCCAGGACCATGGTGATAGACAAGTGTTTGAGAAATAGGCAAGTGAGTTCTCAGTGAGTTCTTCTTCTTCAAGAAGTCCCCAAGCTGGGGTTGGACATGGCCTAGAACATGAAACCTAGCGTTTACAGAGCACCTACTATGTGCCAGGCACTGCACTGGCTGCTTTGCCTAAAAGTGCATTTTAATTTTCAATTTTTATCTCTTTTTTGCTATGGGAGGTTAAGGAATTTGTCCAAGGCCACATAACTGGTAATGGCACTGTCAGGACTCAAACCCAGGCAGGTCTGACTCCAGAACCATGAGCTTTCCACTATCCTGGCCCATTTCCTGATTTGAAGGCACCTTTTCTGTCAAAGCCTGAGTCATCCCAGGCCAGTGCCTGATGGGAGAAGGAAAAACACCAGACAAGCTATTTATGACAGTGAAATGTACTGCAGGCTTGCTGGGCTCTGGGGCTGCCACCTGCTTTCTTCCTCTGGATGTGACTGACCTTCTCTGTCCTCTTGTTTAAAAAGTTCACAAGCTGGCATTGGGCATGACCTCTCTGAGCAGCAGACTCTGGAGGCCGTCTCACCCAGCTTTCACCCAGCCAGTCTCCAGCTGGCTGGAGGAAACCAAATCGTGGTTGTGTGCACCAGCAGTAAGAGCTACAGGGCACAGAGGAAAGCAGAGGTTCCTGTGGATTGAGCTAAAAGATTGCAGCAAACGTTTTTGAGGCAGATGTATTTAATCCAAATCCTGGCTCTGCCACATGCTGTGTATGGCAGATTGTATTTTCCAAAGATGCCTGCAACAGTATCTCCAATTTCCCATGTTATCATAGTACATGACCTTGCCACTCCTTCCTCTGAGTAGTATACCCTTCCCTTGAATTTGAATGGGCTTGGTACTTGTTTGTAACCAAAAAAATGGCAGAAGTGAGAGAAGTGAAATAGTGGGATTTCTAAGGCGAGGCCAGAAAAGGTGAAGTAACTTGTCCTTGCTTGCTGAAATTCTCAAGCTGGAGTCCTGAGCCTCCATGTGAGCAGTCTGACTGCCCTGAGATCCTGAGACTATAGAAAGAGAGAGGAGAGAGATTCCTAGCCAGCCTACAGCTCCTCCAGCACTCTACTGTTCCATCTCCAGCCATTGTCTGACTGCAACACACCACTCTCTAAGCTAGAACCAACCAGCTGAGGCCTCCTCAAATTTCTGACCCACAGAGAACATAGGAAAATAGCTATTGTTTTAAGCCACTAAGTTTTGGGGAGATTTTCTAATGTAGAACTAGAGAACTAGAACACTGTGTGACCTTGCATGAGCCATTTCATTTTCCTGAGTTGCAGTTTCCTGCTCACAGTGTTGTTGGGATGAAGAGTGTGACTGCATCTAGTTGATGAATAACATAGGGGTTGGATGAATGAATGAATGAATGAGGAAAAGAGAAACCTGATCCCTTTCTCACACTGAGAGCCAGACTTAAAGCAACTATAGGAGGTAGCTTTGTAAATCAATCCTCTTGAACTCTGCTAGGGAAAGGGGATAGGCTGTTCCAGCAAAATGTGCCACTGTAAGGTATTGATCATTTTGGACAGGATCTGTTTAGAAGCCAGTGTTTTAAAGATGGGCATTGTCTGGGACAACTCTCTTCCCTTCCCCCTCCAACCCTATTACATATTCCCTAACCCTGAAAGTCTCACTCTAGATTATTTACTGCAATGGCCCTGTTTGAGTCAAGAAATAGGACATG